GTTCTCCAACTATTCATTTTCATTAGCTCCAGTCAACAGTTCAAAAATCTGTACAAGGACTGGGAAGGTGGCTCAGTGGTAGAGCGCTTGCCTTGCATGCATGAGGCCCTGGGTTTGATTCCTCAGCACCACATAAGCAGGGAAAAAAAAGCTAGAAGTGGCGCTGTAGCTCAAGTGGTAGAGCGCTAGCCTTGAGCTGAAGAGCTGAAGGGCAGCGCCCAGGCCCAGAGTTCAGACCCCATGACTGGACCCCAGAAAAAAAGAATCTCCACTAGGAAGCCCGCCATCACCCCACGTAGATGGAAGTCACGGGAAACTTGACCTTCCTGAATTTGGTGGAAGGGCTAGAAGTAAATTTGCTAGAAGAAAAGGAAGTATCTTCTCAAACAGACTAAATCAGATCTGAAATGTAAGCCCACTTGTACATCTCCATGCATCTTACTCTCATCATTGAAGATGTCACCCATTCACTTAGGCCTTTACCCATCCACCTAGGCCTTCACCGATCCATTATCCATCCACACATTCATCATCAATATGTTCACCAGATGCCCATTGGGATTATAACTGACATTCTGTGGATGTCTTTGAAACAAGGTTTAACTTATCTCTATTACAAACCAAACCCTCAAAGGAATTTTGATTATTATTTTTCCAGGCTTTGCATGTACCTAGGAAGGGATACAGGATGGAGCCAAGAAAATTTTCAAAGTTAGATTTACCTCCTTTCCCCACTATGCTATACCTGAAGACTACTAGTAATTGTACACATTTAGCACTTGCATGTATATGAGTATTTTAAGTAAACATGTATATATTTAATTCATATTTAAGTCAGAAACAGACTTCAAAGGAAGTTAGCACACTAGCGAAAGGTCAGTGAAACTGTATAAATTATAAAAAGATAAATGCATGCTCTTTGGCTAAGACTCTGCTACACATGATTTATTGGATAAGGCTCCATTCTATTTCAATAATTAGCATTAGGAAATCAATATTCTTGTGACAGGAACAAAGCATAAAATTTCCTCCTCTTCTATCCTAGCGATAGTAAACAAGAAAAAGCACCCTTCCTTTCAGTTCCCTTCTGTTTCTATGTATGTGTGTGTTTGTGTTTGTGTCTGTGTCTATGTCTGTGTCTGTGTGTCTGTATCTGTGTCTGTGTCTCTGTGTGCTGGTACCTGGGTGAACTCAGGGCCTGGGAATTATCCCTTAAAGTTTTTTCAAACTCAAGACTGGTGTTCTAAAGGAGGATACTTTTAGGAAAGGAACATAACGACACAATACCTATGTGCATCTAGTCATATAAAATAATATTTATTGAAATGAACTACAGGAAATGGAAGCAAGAAGGTTTTTCTTTGTTGTTTCTTGTTTTGTTTACTTCTCTGTTTGTCTTGTTTGTTCATTTATCTGTCTTTGGGAGGATAAGAGGAGGCACAAAAAAGGTGGGACAAAGGATGAACAAATGCAGCAGTGGTATTCACTGGAAACTATGTGGAAAATGAACTACACAACATGTGGATAGGGACAGGATGGAAAACCTGGAAGAGAGTGAGGAAGGGGATGACATTGTCCAAAAAGAAATATACTCTTTACCTGACTTATGTCAGCATAACTCGTCTGTAATAACAATAAAGAAGGGGGAAAAGTGGTGTTCTACCACTATCTACTTCTATCTACTTCTAGATTTTTGCTAGTTAATTAGAGATGAGTCTCATAGACTTATCTGTACAGGCTGGTTTCAAAGCAAGATCCTCAGATCTCAGCCACCTGAGTAGTTAGGATTACAGGCATGAGTCACCAGAGTCCAGCTTAAGGGGTTAGTTTTGTTATGGTCTGTAGGAGGTGATAAAAGTAAGACGATAGAAGAGTTAGACTATGCTACCAATAGATAACGTGTATTCAAGAGTGTGGTGACAGAAAGAGAAAAGAGTGAGAAAGACAAGCATTTACTGAAGAAAACATCTTGGGAAGGAAACAGAATTGGGAGACATATTTCTGATGATTTGTAATGCCCCCAACATCTGTGCGCCTTAGTAGTCCCCAAGGCCTTCAGCAAGGACCTCTCATGGATTTGCAAATAAGCATCTGCTCTATCACTGAGCTATCTCTCCATTCTTGGTGTGTTCACTTGCTTGAATGGCAATGCATCCTCAAGTGAGCTTTAAGGCAAGAGCTTAGACAGATACTAGTGATATGTACTAAGGGACTACAGAATGAAATAAAAAAAGCATTTAGAGAAGCCATTTATGCTCTAATTTTAGTGATGAGCTATGTTTTCTTTAAAAAAAAATCCAAATTGAATCAAGGAGATGGATGCATTACTAAAATATCAAATAATAGCATCCTAATTTCTTTTTTTTAAGTTTTGCATATTAACTTAATTAGCTATTACACTATTGGTGAAGTCCTACTGTTGATGTCATTTCATTCAAACAGGTAGCAAATGCAGAAAATGAGGAAGTGTCATTAAAACTTGCAACTGTAATCTTATGATGAATTATGAACAGGTAAAAAAAAGGATCAAAAAAGATGATATAAAAAAGTAGGTCAGCATCAGCTTCATGTATCACAAAATAGATGGAACAATGGATGTAGAAAAATGCACTATACTCTTAGGTCATCTCATTATCAATCCTCATGTCTTCTGAGTGCAGGCGTGTGTTTGTTTTAATCAGTTCTCCTGTGTTTGTTTCTCTTCTCCTCTGAATGTCTGCTCTTCTTATATCCCTGGAGGTGACTCCTAAGAACACTTAGAACTATGAGTTCTTTCCTAAGCTCCAGGCTCAGAAATTCCATTGATCGTGCTTCGCCCAGCCAGATGGATGGTGCTGACACTGTGCAATCAGCTTTGTTGTACAGGCCCTCTGTGTGAATGGCGAAATCAAAGCACACAGCTTGATATATCAGCCCAAGGTCACTCGGCAACCAGTGACAGACAAGGTCACACCTTGAGCCCTAAATTCCTCTCTCCCAATCCTATCCGTGTCTCATTGATCTGCCTCATGTCACACTGCTATTTCATCTTACCATGCCTGTCAACTCTCTTTCATGTGGAGACTAACAGTAACCTCGTGGACCTTTCCTCCTCCAGGCACTCATCCCTCCTTTCTTTTCTTTCCCTTTCCTTCATCTCTTCTTCCCTTCCTTTCCTCTTCCTCTTCCCATTCCTCTTTCCTTTTCCCTTTCCTTGTCATGAGACCATCCTATCCTTCCGAGTCCTAAGGGCAGACGACATCACTCCACTTCCAAATTTAAAAAAGCAGTTAAAATCATAGTTTCTGCAACCAGGATTTCTTAATTCAAATCCCAGCTCTGCCTTCTACTATTTGGTAATTGGACAAGAAAAGTCTTTCTATGTACTTGGCTTCCCAGCCTATGAGAAAGAATGCCTATAATGACACATAGCCTCACTATGATGAAAAACATGAGGCCATATCTGTTAAGTGGGCACATGGTGAATCCTATATAGAAGTTTGCTTGCTCAGTTTGGCTTCTGGGGTCCTCTACAAGCTAACTCTCATCTATCTTTTAACAATAATTCCTTCATTCACAACAAATTCCTACCAGACTGACCTGGCACCATTCCACTCCACTTCTCTTCTTTCTGTGCTCTGCCTCAGTTATTTTTTCAAGTATTTGCTGAGCTTGGGTGCTCTTTCAAATCCCCACCTCCAGAGTCATTCATAACCAATTCTCCATGAGACATTGAACTTGGAGTTTCTACATCCATGGCTGATCTCTTTGAAGACACTGGTTCTGGGTCATGAAGTCTAGACCTGAATTTTCTACACTTTCACCAATAGTCATAACTATGAGAAAGGCATTTGACTTTTCCATGCATGAACTTCTTAATTGAGGTTAATATTGCATCCTATTTATAGGGTCTTGATTACCAAACAGGGCTGTGGGAGTGGGGGAACTGCTTGGCACAGAGATCATAAATACCAGCAATTGCTTATAGAAATATATCTGTGTGTTTTCATACATGTGTTTTGGTGTGTGTATGTGCCAGTCTTGAGGCTGGAATCCAGGGCCTGGATGCTGTCCCTGAGTTTTATTTTGCTCAAGGCTAAACTTGACCACTTGAGCCACAACTCCAATGCTAGTTTTTGGTAGTTAATTGGAGTTAAGCATCATAGACTTTCCTGCACAGGCTGGCTTTGAACTGCAAGCCTCAGATCTCAGCCTCCTGAATAGCTAAAATTACCATTGGTAGCGACCAATGGCTCGCTACCAATGGTAATTGGCTCATGCCTCCTTTTATATTATGATAACATGGAAGACAAATACTAGTTCATTCCTTCTAAATTATCTTGTTTCATATCTACCTTAAAGTGAACTCTACACAAAAAAAGTTTGTTGTATAACTGTCATCCTTCTTACCTTAGCACTTGGAGCATAGTTAATGTTCACAGCCATTAAAAGTGAATTAATAGTGAACATTCACAGATATAGAGTATCACATTATATTGATATAGGAAGTTTGCCAAAATTTAGAGGCAAAAATCAGTTTGGGGGTTATGAGTTTCTTCCTTCCTTTTATTGTTTCCATTTCCAGGAGTTCATTTTGATAGATTATTATTTATATGATAAGAGGCATATAGGTATGGTGCTTTGTATTCCTCCCCTAAGAATTTTCTCTTTGGCTTCACTGTGTGTACAGGCCTAGAATTTTGTATGATTAATCAATTTCTTTCTTTCCATATAGTCTTTTCCCCACTAAAGGATGAAAGCAGAAAAAAAAATAAAAACCATGTATGCGCTTCCAGTTCTGATTAATTCTGAAGATCCTGGGCCTTTCATGAGTAATTAAAATGTTAGAAAAGTGACATGTTAAAAAGGTTCACTGAATCAAGTACTGCTCACTTGCTTTATTGGGAGACACAGAAGAACAGTCAGAACAATAGTTAAGCAGTGAAAATCCAAAGTGGTCAAAAATTAAGAGCTCAAGATTTATAGTCAAAGAGAGTTCAAATCTTGTATCTGTCACTTACCAGCTGTGTGACCTCATGCCACTGAACTGCTCTGTGCCTCTGCTTCCTGAACTTTAAGTAGGGACACTAATGCCTGTCTCATAAAACAGCAGAGTGCCTGAAAAATAACAAATGCTCAGTAAATGGTGTATGTTAATGACCAAAAACAATAGCAATAATAATAATAATAATAATTACAATAACAACAACAACAACATGGGAAAACAAATTTGACCTTTCCATTAGTGTCAGTGATCAAAATACAAAAATCCCCATACTGGATCAGTTCTGATTTGGATGGACTATAACTTAGCCAGAAGAAAAAAAGATGTTCACATTATATTTCCCTTTTATGTATCATTACTTCTGGATTCATATTTTAGCTTAATTTCTTAAAGTGATGCAATTCAGTGGCATCATTTTATGCCTTTGAAGACAAAAGAAATTCTTTGGAAGGTAAGGTTTCCTGAATGATAGGCCTAGCCATAGAATCGAAGGCTGGAAGAACTTAAAATAGCAGCATCTCAACCTGGTTATTTTACAGATACTTTAAAAATGTAACTTGAAATTAGAGACAGAAATCCTCAAAAAACTAAACTAAGCTGAGATATGGAGGCCTAGAATTTATGAATAAGTTGAAATTTGTAGTTTCCTGAGGTAAAAGGGAAGTAAAGAGAGTCGAATCCTCAAGCCACCATGTTCCCACAAGAAGTACAACTCAACACAGCACCATGACTACACATGCCTTGAGTGTAGTCATGGGCAAGCAAAGAACTGAGCATGGACCCCATTCAAACAGTCACTTAGGTAAGTCCCTGAAAGTTGGGGAGCAACTAACACTGGCCAGGAAGGAATGGAGCCCATTGACAGTCAATGTGGATGTCAAACCCAGAGCTCCAAGATGCACAAAACAATGACCCACAAATTATGTACCAAGAAACTATGAAATATAAGCATTTATGTGAAGAGAAATTATATAGACCTTTCCCTGCTAAAGGAAGAGATACTAAGTGACTTGACACAAATGCAGCTTCTCACGTGTGTTTCTTAGCTAAAACTTCAAGCTTTTCCAGAGATCCTCCAGAATGACATGGATCTTTGAAAACTTAGTTGGTTTATAAAATACCAAAAGACTCACTTTATCTTCTTTTCCAAACAAATACTAGTTTCCTCCCAAATGTTAACCACCATGCACTTGCTCCCAGAACTTCTCCTCATTCTGAGTTAAATATATAAAGACAAAATTCACTTTATGTCTTTATTATTTGATGATGTCTACAGACTATTTTCCTCACAACTAAATATCATCTCATGTAACTAGGTGAGTCTGAAAAATACTAAGTATTGAACTCTTTTATTCACATCCACTGGGAAAAATGGCGTTTATAGAATAGCTAACAATTTTCATGGTTTACTCAACACTGTGTCATCAGTTGAAAGCAGTACTTGGCAATCTAAGACCTAGGTCCCCATGTACCTCTAATGGCAAGCCTGATACAAACAGCATAGGAGGGACCATAAAACTGCAGTCTCACTGTTCACCAGTGGTTCCTGCCTGTAATCCCAGCTACTCAAGAAGCTATGATTTTAGGATTGCAGTTTGGAGCCAGCCCAGGCAGAATGTTTGTGGGACTATTATTATTATTGTTATTATTATTATTAACAGAATAAGATGAAAGTGACTCTGTGGCTCAAGAGTTCAAGCCCCAGGACTGGCAAAACAAAACAAAACAACAAAAAATCCTGCAGTCTATGACGAAGAATTGTAAGGGAAATTGGAATTAACTCTTAGAATGGATGCAGGGAGGATTCCATTTGCCATTGACGGATTTGGTTGCTGTCCAAATTTGTTAAGCAATCTCAATAAACTTTTTACCATTGACACTGATAGGTAAGACTACTTTTGACATCTTACTTCCTATGTTCCCAGGAATGATAAGAGAATGAAGCATATCAGAATTTTTTGGGTCAGTTTTGGGGCTTGAATTCAGTGCCTGGGCACTGTCCTTGAGCCTCTTTCTGCTCAAGGCTAGCCACAGTGCCACTTCCTGTTTTTGAGTGGTTAATTGGAAGTAAGAATCTCACAGGGCCTTTTCTTCATGGGCTGGTTTCAAACTGCAGTCCTGAGATCTCAGCTTTCTGAATAGCTAGGATTACAGGCGCGACCCACCTGTGCCTGGTTCAGAAATCCTTGAATTTGAGTATCGTAGACCTACACACAAATACCAATTTTATATGAGTAAGCCAGGAAGTACTGAGAATGTCATCAAGGAAGGTAAAGATATATAAAACAAAACAGCAGTGTTGTTAAACTTCAAGTCATTAAGATTAGGACAAAGAAAGCGAAAAACAGAACCAAATTTCATTCGCACAATGTATTTGTTCATACACACATAGACTTCTGCTATCTCTAACTGATGATATCAGTCTTGACCTATTATGAGGAAACTAACTTAGAGCATTCAAAAACCATGATTGTAGTTGTACAAAGTAATCTTTTGTCTGGCCTGAAATCTTATTTTTTTAAAAAGAGAAGTGATCTCTCTAGAATCTGGATGAAGTGGAATGCCTGGACAATAATGAATATCTAACCTTCACTACCATTGATTCTTTTGCTTCTTCTTCCTGGATCCTTAGATCTTATTGAAAATCTCTACTCCCACACTCTTCCTTTTCTGTTGTCCTTTACTCTCAATGCTTTTTGATTCAAGTCAACCACTTTTTGGTATCCTAGGCCTTTTTGATATATGCTTTGTTCTCAGACTGAAATTGCATTCCTGGCAAACCCCTATTTGTTCATAAGATCCTAAAGGGAGCATGGAGCCACTAGGCTCTGGAGTGGCATGGCCCATGACTGAAATCCTAACTCTGTCCCTAATCATTTGCCTGGTGTGAGCTGCTTCACCTCTGGAAGCATCTGCTTCCTTCGTAAAAGAAAAACCAATAGAAACATCACAATAATGATGCCACCTGATTGTTATTGTACACTATAAATACTGTATCAATTGCCTAGCCAAATATCCTCTGGGTACAATATACCACAGCTGTGCCTTTACTACTGATGGCTTGACTTTGATAGAATAGATATTCTAAAACATTTTATAACGATGGCTAATATATATCAATTTGAATGTTCATTGTTGTTTTGAGACAGGGTCTCCCGATGTAGGCCAAGCAGGTCTCAAACTCATGAATCTTGTGCCTCAGCCTCCCAAGTGTTAACATTACAGGTATGTACCAACATACCTCACCTGCCAATTTGTATTCTTTGAAATCATGTCTGTAAAGCTTTTTCCATAAGGAAGGTAAGACATAACCTGCATCAGATATCAGCAAAGAAAGGAACCATATAACAAACTATTTTAATCAATTTTCCATTTCTATTCTGCAAGGCAATAGTTCACCTCTTTACCTAATCTGAGTTAAATACATAAACCACTATTTCAAAGCAGCTGCCTAAAAATGAAGCTCATAGGCATTCTGGGTTATGAGGCAAACCATCCAGGAAAAATTAGCCCTTGATAGATTCCTTGTCTTGTATGATATAGACAGTCCACAATATGTACTTTATTACCTCAAAACCATGTCTCAAACAAATTTTATGAACTAGACACATAAAATACTAACCAACATACTTTGGGAATGTATACATTGCTTATAATTCTTCACTGTATTTTTCCTAATCAAGTTACATGGTGATTTCTCTCTGGATCCTCAATAAATGACTCTACATTGCCCAATATTTCTGAACAATGGCAGTAATGATAATTTTTCATTTTATTTTGCAATTAAAAAGATATTGAGCTAATAAATAAACATAACAGAAAAATCTCATAATGAATAATTGCCTACAAACCATCACCTTTAATTTTTAGCATTCATCATGAGGGAAAGCATGTCTACTGCATGGATTTAATGATAATTTGGAGTTATTTGTGCTTTAATTGCTCTAATTGCTTCCTTGTTGGTCAAAGTGTCTCCAGATTTTTACCACATCAGTCTGTTCTGCACAACGTGACCCCTAACAACACTACTTTCTCTGTTACTTGCTTTCCCCATTTTCTTTTCAGAGACCAGTCCTACTCAAGCTCTACCAGCATACTCCCCATCAAACCGCCATTTAGGCCTGCTCCTCCGCCAGATTATTTATCCTCTTGGTGTATTCTCCTCTATTTTCCCCTCAAAATTTTGGAGCTCTCTCTCTCTCTCTCTCTCTCTCTCCCTCTCTCTGTGTGTGTGTGTGTGTGTGTGTGTGTGTACTGGGACAGATTCTTCTCTCTCTCTCTCTCTCTCTCTCTCTCTCTCTCTCTCTCTCTCTCTCTCTCACACACACACACACACACACACACAGCTCACATGTTTAAACCCTCTTTGTATCCATGTGGCAGAAGAGAAAAGTTTGTTTATATAGTTGGATCTATTCCCTATACAGCTGTATGATCTTTCAGGCTCCACAAGGGATGAATTTGTTTATCTAAATTAATAACATTATTAGTTCTCAAAAGTCCATCATTGATATGATAAAGAAAGTTCCTTTGATCTTTCTTCCAAAATAACTCTGCCCATGCCAGATATTATGGTTGCCTCCAGTACCTGTGATATGGACTGTTGCGACTCAACACAAGAATCAGTTGTGTGCCAGCAAGACTCATGAGAGGAGTCTAGGACAGTGAAGATTGCCTTTAGCTCTCAGAATCCTAAGCTTCAATATTCCTTGAGAAGATCCTAAAGACAAGTAAGTCTCCAAGCCTAGGGCCACAAGATCGAACTTCTGCAAGGCATTTGCTAGAGGTGACATTCAGATATTCAAAAACAATGATGCTAACTACTAGTTAGAAAGAACTTCAAAAACTGTGATGATTATCCTGAGCAATGTATTGGATGCACCACTGGCTATTTCAAAAGGAGCTTAAACAAGATATGAAGAAAGTGAGTCCTTGATTTGAATGGCATTGAGTTGTGCCATCATCTTGGTGTCTGTCTTGAATGTCCACTTTATGACAAAAGAAAAAATCTTTAAGTTGATGAAAATTGTTTTCCTAAAACTAGATTATTCAAAAGTAAATAGAGGTTATACATTTTGTATCCCAATCCAGTAAAAATCAGTCACTGAAAATA